GGGGAGCTGCAGGCAGAGGCAGAGGGAGAAGCAGGCTTCCCGCCGAGCAGGGAGCCCGATGCGGGACTTGATCCCAGGACCCTGGGATCATGACCTGAGTCAAAGGCAGACACTTAACAACTGAGCCACCCAGGCGTCCCAGTAGACGCATGCGTTGTAATACCGTCCTGGCATGACAGATCGTCTGCTCCTAAGACTTTTCAGCTCATGTTTCATTCTGAATGCAGCTAGAACTGTGCACAAAAACATGTTCTAATGTAAGTTTATTACCAAGTTTTATGTATTTTTTTCTAACCTTCTAGCCATATCCTTGACTTGTTTTTGTGGTTTTTTTTTAATGTGTTTTTAGAAGATAAACGTGGAACTACATCGGTTAAAACAACAAATAATGGTGAGACCCTCACTCCTCCTTGCATGCTTGTTGGCAGTTAACGTAAACATAGTAATAAATACAATGTCAGAAGTTTTTTAGGTGTTCTTAAAAACGTAATCCTATGTTAAATAGTTGTGTAATATGTCTGGAAAGTACACACTGAAAGATTTAGCTGAGAATAGTCAGTGAATAAGTTGGTGATGTCTGTAACCAAATTCATTAAGAAAATTATGTTCTAGGATGAAGGAAGTCATCTTTAAATTAAAAGTGTTGAAGTTGCCCCATATGGAGCCTTTAGGTTCTGTTAGAACAGACTGGCTTTAGAGAATTTCATGCGATTTCAAAATGCTGACTGTACCAGCTGTTCAATTTCTTTTTTTTTTTTTTTAAGTGGAAAGGACATGGATGTTAAGGTAGAAAAGGCTCTGACGAGTGTCAGAAAGAAGGCTTTATTTAAACCAGAATTACATATTTTCCTTCTTTGAGTCCATCTCTGCTTTCCAGAGTTGTCCAGGGAACAGCTTCAGTCATAAATTCCATAAGGAGAGTTCACTGGGAATCTCGAGGTTAAAAGCAGTGGTAACCCACTCTGGACTGACTTGAGCATAAGCGGGGGTTATTTGTATATATGACTGGGAAGTCCCAGGCTTCACATCCCAGGAGGGTTTCCATTTCTCACTTTGGATTTCTTTCTCTCTTTGTTTGCCCTCCTGCCAGGATGAAGTGGTCAAAGTCCGAACAGATACCAAGTTAGACTTCAATCTAGAAAAGAGCAGAGTGAAGGAATTGGTAAGTTCCTTTATTATAAACGGAGTGTGAATTCATCTCTTTGCAGGATGGAATGCTCGATCCAGTCTGAGTTTATAGACAGTTCACCAGTACCGTTAAACGTTTACCTGTGCGTCGTTGTTAGACACAGTTTTCCCTGTAATTGTATTCTGGCTTAGAGCTTAAATTTGGTGCTTTCAAAAATAAAATGAAAATCTTGGGAGGCGCCCGGCTGGTTCAGTCGCTAGAGCGTGTGTGACTCTTGATCTTGAGGTAATGAGTAATGAGTTCAAGTTCAAGCCCCACATTGTGTAGAGATTACTTAAAAATAAAACCTTTAAAAAAAAAAAATTAAACTCGGGGAGCCTGGGTGGCTCAGTCATTGGGCGTCTGCCTTCGGCTCAGGTCATGATCCCAGCTGGGATCGAGCCCCGCATCGGGCTCCCTGCTCCGTGGGAAGCCTGCTTCTCCCTCTCCCACTCCCTCTGCTCGTGTTCCTGCTCTCACTGTCTCTCTCTCTGTGTCAAATAACTAAATAAAATCTTTAAAAAAAAAAAACAACTAAACTCTTGGTCAAATCAAGTTTGAATCTCATTTTATTTCAGAGAGAGAGACTAAATTATGTGTTACTTAGACATTACAAAAGAAATCAAACCCAGTCTCGCCCTGTGTCCTCTAACTTAAACCTCCACAGGTCCAGATTTTTCAGAAGTTAAGTTGATCATCTGTCTTGAATAATACTAAATTAAATTCTACACTGAAATTCAAGATTAAAAAAATATTTCCATATAGTCTTTTTCAAATTTTAAATAGAGAAATCTTAATGACTTGATCACATTGTTTTGAAATGCAAATTCGAAACTATTTTTTAAGTTATATTAAATTGAAATTTTTAATTAGGAAAAGTACTTCTGTACATTTGTTACCAAAAAGATCTCAGAAGGGGCGCCTGGGTGGCTCAGTCGGTTGAGTGTCTGCCTTCAGCTCAGGTCATGATCCTGAGGTCCTGGGATCGAGCCCCATGTTGGGCTCCCTGCTTGGTGGGGAGCCTGCTTCTCCTTCTCTCTCTGCCCCTTACCCCTGCTCGTGTGTGTTCTCTCTTTCTGAAATAAAGAAATAAAAATCTTTAAAAAAATCTCAGAAATGTAGGTTGTAAGTAAGCAGAAGGGTACTTACCCCTGTGGGATCATGTACAGGACCCAAGAAAGCCGTGCAGATACAGTTCTGCTGTCCTTTTTCAAAAATAATGCATAGAAGTACTATTTTGCCCCCTCAGAGTTTGCGCAGGAACACTTTTTTTTCAATTTTTTATTTTATTCGGTTATAATTGACGTATACAGCATTACGTTAGTTTCAGGCGTACAGCATAATGATTTGATACTTGTATACACTGCAGAATGGCCACCACTGTAAGTCTAGTTACCATCTGTCATCATACATAGATAGAAAATTTTTTTCTTGTGATGAGAACTTTTAAGATTTATTCTCTTAGCAACTTTCAAATAGACAGTGTGGTATTATTCACTGTAGTCTCCATGCCCTGCATTACATCCTAGGGCTTAACTTATTTTACAGCTGTAAGTTTGTACCTTTTGACCCATTTCACCCACCCCACAGCTCCCACCTTTGGCAACCACCATCCTGTTCTTTGTATCTGTGAACTCAGGTTTTTGGGGGATTCTTTTTGGTTTTGGGGGGTTTTTTAGATTTTAGATTCCACATGTAAGAGAGACTGTACAGTATTTGTCTTTCTCATATTTCACTTAGTGTAAGTACTCAAGGTCCATCCATGTTATCACAAATGGCAGGATTTCCTTCTTTTTTATGGCTGACTCATATTCAAGTATATATGTGCACCACATTTTCTTCATCCCTTCATCCATCAGTGGACACTTAATCTTCTGTGTCTCAGCGATTGCAAATAATGCTTCAATGAATATGTATGTTCTAATAAAAATAATGTTGAGTTGCCTCTAGTGACTTTTAGCCCATCTATCTTCTTGTTCAGGCTTTATTTGAATTTGATAGCAATAGTTAGATACCTTCTTTATTCTTAGAATAATGAGAAATAGGCCATGTGAAGCATCTTTTACTAACAGAATTGTATACACATGTAGAAACTGAGTATGCACAGTTGTTCATTGTCTTCTGATTTTTCACAATTTGCTTTTAACCAGAATGTGCTGCAATGATAAATGAAGCTAATACTGAAATTCAAACAAGTACTTAACTCTATTTTGGAACCACTTCTGGATTTTAAGAGTTAAGCTGAGCTTTGTTGTACAAAATCATTATTCCCATGTCACCTGTCTTTTTGTCTCAAAAACCACTTTTTTTTTTTAAAGATTTTATTTATTTGACAGAGCACAAGCAGGGGGAGCTGCAGGCAGAGG